TGACAGGGTGATGTGTGTTCTCTTTTTGCTTGCTCGCGCCGCCCGGTGTGACAGGGTGATGTTTTTTTTAAGCCTATTTTGTTAGCTGTGCTCAGTGTGACATTGTAATGTTGGATTTGCTTGCTATCGCATCGCCTGGAGTGGCAGTGTGATGTTCTTTGCACGAGCTGACATTCTGGAGGAGCACTGGAAATGAAAGTGATAAGTCCAAACACTGTTTTTTACTTACGTTATCCGTCTAAAGGGATGCCATGGCTTTTTTTTGTCAGTCCTCAGTAAAGATCTTCCTTAGAGGTATCAACCGCGCCAATGCACACTTTGGATTTGGATTCGGTATTTTTCACATTAAGCTACTACAGTCAAAGGTTGAGGCTGTGAAGATAAGTTCTCCTTGTGATGATAGGTCCAGTGGTGAATATGAAAGTACTACTACGGCGGATTTACTACCCACTATGCAGCGTCTTTCGGAGCCAACAAAATAGATTGTAAGGTTCTTCAAAGGGATAATGTAACTTTGCCTTTTCAATGTTTACTATAAGTGTTTTTCAGCTATGTCCCTTACTTGGCTCAAGTTGGATGACATGGAGCGTTTGTTTGGCCGCCAGTGCCATACTTTGTAGAGTCTGAGCCAGTAGGAGAATTAGAGCAGCTAGCCTTGACTTCATTGGTTAAGAATTATTCAGATAGAAATTATATGTTCACCAGAGCAAGTGAGTTTGGTAAAGCGGAGCTAGCACGCTGCAAACGGAGTTAAGGTAGAGAGAATGCCCACGCCTAAGGAGCCAGGATGCAAGGGAGCGTGTGGGGAGCGGAGCGCGTGGGGAGCGGAGCGCGTGGGAGCGGAGCGCGTGGGAGCGGAGCGCGTGGGAGCGGAGCGTGTGGGGAGCGGAGCATGTGGGGAGCGGAGCATGTGGGGAGCGGAGGTGTGGTGAGCGGAGAGTGTGGGCAACGGAGTGCGTGGGGGCGGAGCAATCGGGTAGTGGAGCGCCAGGTATGATGAGGAGCTGCTAAACCATAACTCTGTCACGTAGAAAAAGAAGCGCACATGGCTAGACGGGCGCGGTGGACAATTGGGTCAGGCGATGGCTCTATTTCATCTATATGAGATGCAAGTCGAAAATCATTGGATTCTAGAAGTATGCAATCGCCAAACTCCGGAACACTGATGATGTAAATGCTGGACTTTAAACAGCATGCAAATATGTAAGCAGTGAAGGCTGATTCGAGCAGGGCCTTAGTGACACTGTAATTAAAGCGCACGGGTTGAACTTAACTATTAATATGTCTCGTGCAGCGCATTCTGGCTCGTTTGCCCGCTCGATCTGGTCATTTGCTCGTTTTGCATCGCGTGGGGCCCATGGCGGAAGGGTGTTTGAACGGTTCATCATGCAAGACGAGAGACTTGGCTAAAAATATCTTTTTTAAGTATGTATGACATACAAAATTGCCTTGCTCTTTGCGCATCCTCCTAAGGTGTGGCCTCAATCTTTGACCCTATTGGTGAACGCGCTCACAGTTCGGGCGAAATTGCTCTTGGCCGCTTCTTCGTGAACTGGTTCAGCTGTCAGTGCTTCTTGTTAGCAGTGATCTTCACCCGATAGGTCTGAAATCTGCCACTGTAAGTGCATCGGCTGGACACTGGACAGGTTGTAAGAGGTCCGATGATTTTGGTTCGCTTTCAGGCCCGGCCTGTGGTTTTGCCATGTATCAAGCGACGGAGCATATCTAACAAGTTGACTTTCACTTTGCTGTGGCAGGCCCTTTCACTGATGTTGATTGCGATTGGCTGCGGCAAGGCGAAGTGCAACGCATTTAAACTATACGGGTGATGCTGTACATTGATTCTTGCCTAGGACTGCTCTTGCCTTCTCTGTTTCGCCTGGATCTGGACGAATATAATGGAGTATGGTGTGCGCCGACAGAATTGGCATTTAGTTTAAAATTGTTCTAACTTTTTGTACTGCACTGAAGCACAAACATGTTGCACAGGTTGTAAGTGGTCTGATGATTTTGCTATGCCTTCAGGCCTTTGATTTCGCATTATCAATGAAAAGGAACGAATTTGCCAACCCGATTTTGTTGCGACAGGCCCTTTCACTGACACTGATTCTGGGTGGTCGAAGCCAGGAGAAGTTTACATGGTTTCGAGGAATAAAAGATGTGAAGCTGCAGAATGGCTTGCGCAGGATTGCTTTGGCCTTTTGTATCTCGGGGATACCTGGAAGAATATGATGGAGGATGGTGTGTCTTGAAGCACTTGGTGATCACATCCTAGCACCAACCTAGCGCATGTCAACACAGATTTTTTATACAAGGCGATTGTTTCATGGCGTCTATCATCGGGCGCTGTTGCGACCAAGCAGATTTGGCAACACGCTCCAACTGCTCCTTGCCTTGCCTTTTCAGTGTGCAATATCTAAAGCATAGTTGATTTGCCCACTGCGAGTGAACAAGGCGACTACTTTATGCAGGGAATCATCCGTCGTCTTACTCACGTATGCCATGCCGGTTGCTATGAAACCATTCAATGTGCCTTGGCCGGAAAACAGCGGAATTGGTTTGAATTTGCGTGAGTTTGCAATGATACCTGCCAAGGGCGCAATTCTGGATTTGGATTGAAGCAAGTTGCCACTGGTGGGTGCAAAGTCAAGGAGTCAAATGTGAAGCTGATTTCTTGCCCATTGTGGTGTGACTCGCTTGTGAAATACAAGGTAGTACGCTCACATGCCACAGGTGTCTCATGTCGATACCGTAGATGCACATGGTAGCCTGCAGGTGATGCCCTTGCGTGGAAGATTGCGAGGCGGTGTCGCAGCACGACTTCATTTCCAGTGGGGCTGGAGCTTCCCAACTGGAAAAGAATTTCGCGGAAGCAGTGGTACTTCCGATTCAGGCTTGGACATATAGCTGTTGAGATTTGCAATTGAATTAAAATTCTTGTAAGGGGGCAGCGAGCGGCTCCACTACATGAACCACATGCAGAGGCTGAAAAGCAAGCGGCAGCTTTGTTCGCCTTGTTCACATACTGCTGCTGTCGACCCGAGGCTCCAGCGCAGTCAAGAAATGATACTGGTCGGCTGCAGCCTAAGGTTTTTATAATGCTCAACGATTTGTGATTTTGTCGAGCTTGCTGCATTGCGGCCAAGGCCCGGAACTGATGAAGGTATAACATGCCAAGGCGGGCGTAACTACATCCTTCTCCAGTTTCTTGCTTGCTGTGTGTCCTTAGCCTTTGTAACCAGCAGATACCTGGTGCTTTCCCGATTCACTCTCATGACGCCAGTTCCACAAACAGCTGACTTCCAAAAGAATGCTGCTATGTGGAGTATCTGGGTCCAATTCAAATTGCAGTGGTGGCTTAACACTTTCTGTGAGCCGCCCACATTCTTATTTAAGGTGATTACTTTATGAAGACGATTGTCAACCGCTTGACCTGTGAAGTTGGTCAACGGTATCTTGGCCGAGAGAAACTAAATGACCATATGTGAAGTTTGATATCCCAGGCCACCATTGTCCAAGCGCCAGAAGCGGCGACGGTACGAGGAGCGCTACTGGGAGAACGTCTACACCAACGCAATTGGCAGGCATCAACGCATTCTCCGAAGGCGGGAACTAGCTTTTGAAAAGCTCTTCGAGGCAGGGTCGTCAGTGCAAGCTTACATGACAAGATATAGGTCATGAAAAGGGTAGTCTTGAGGAATCTGTGAGTGTGTGGCGCGTGTAGTCGTCAGGAATACGAGTGCATAGTCCAAGCAGAAAGGGAGAAGATGACTATGCCAGATGCCCTTTCTTTTTCTTCACCACCCCCAGGCGCATCGGTTTTTTAGAATGAAAAAGCAGAAACCCACCCACATGTTACATGCAGTTCTGCTTGGTGCCTTTGCTGCAACCTTCTTGAGGA